TTTAAAGAAGAAATGGTAAGATAATCAGCACAACAAAATTCCTTTATTATTAATCCCATAAAGTAGACACTTGTCATTACTCATATGCGAGTCATAGAGAACCATATTAAATCAAACAGTGGCCCAAATTTGCTTGTAGCACCTAACTCACTTTCAGAAAAAACATGCTACATGTACCACTTTTACAGTCCAGGTTTCAAAGTGTACCTAACTGAGGCAAATTGTTCTATATTTTTCTGTCAGCAATAAAAAGGAGGATCAAACCACTAAGATGGATATGGAGGTGAATAGTATAATATTACATATCTCTAAAATGTCTCTAACATATCCCTACAATATGTTGCGTTCCATTAAAGCCAATTCATAAAGTTTTGACATTGATGAATGATAAAAGTATAAGTTTATGTCAACAGAAAAACCAGGCCAATGAACATAGAGAAGTATGTCCTGGAGTGTTCATCAAATATTTAATGTCATGCTAGTGTCTTTGGTGATGAGTAGGAGCAAAACTTTTCATTTTTTAAAAACAATAATTTCCAATATTGCCTACATACTACAAGACCAACTAGGAGATAAAAGAAAGAAAAAATCTTTCAATAACATTAGGTAAAAAGTTTACATCACTATGAATAGAGAATATTGGAATCAAAAGAACGACTCCATGGATAGCTCCAGCAATGCTTGTAAAGGTAACCTCTCAAAATCACTGGATAATTGCTGCAGTTATTTTCTGGCCGACAGACCTCTTTGGTGTTTTAATTCCCCCTTCTCTCTACTTGGAATGAAGTCAAGGAAGTTCAGCAGAACAAAACATAAGAAATGTTTTTCCCTTTTAATTTCATAGTTAAGAGAGGTAAGGGGTCAGCGGGTACTGCCTGAGGACAAAGAGGGCATTACAATAATCCTACGGTATGGTAGTACCCGACTGAAACCCAAATTCAAAGCAACTGCTCTTTTCCAGGTATTTACAGTAACTTGTGTATGAGTGGTTAATATGAATACATTTATGATCAATTATTGGAATGATAAACAAAATGTTTCCATCTCTCTCTTCTAGGGATTTACAATAATACATTTTATTCAAGATATTTAGATATTTTATATATGTACATGGTCACTTACTTAGAAATATTAATCTCCTCTTTTCACTGACATACTTCCTGATCAGAGGAAACAAAACTGAATTATATTGATTTACAGTTTAACTGAATATTTGAAGTACCCTCAATACATGACAAGAAAAAAGCTGCTCCAGACCCCTAATTCTAGTTTAAAAGGCAACCCACTTTCCAAATGAAAGGAGCACCCGCCCACTGCATGCTATTTTGTATTTTTCCTAGTTACAATTCGCATCTTCATACAGTTGGCAGATTTTTAGGGCCTTCGAAAAAATTTCTTGAGGAGCAACGCCACTTTAAAAATGTTGGTAACTTTAGAGTTACTGCCATCCTGCAAAATAATCATAAAGCAAGAAATTAGTTACAGCCTTCCTTCTTCCACTGAATATTAAAATATTTTTTAATAGTCTAAGTGAAGCGAATAACTCAAGCTGAATAAAAAGTACGAGATCATTATCAAATATCCTGGTGCTTAATGTAACTCATGTGACGTATAGTCATATTCGTTTTGTAACGTTGTTTAATTATTCCTCATCTGCAATGGCTGTTCGTTCTATGGTCATCTGTTACTAATATATTTGTCAAAGATTTCCTTTACGTAAACGGCTCAGTTTTGATCCACACTCGAATCGTTTCTAAAGCTCCACATAAGATGACAAGCTAACAATTTTTCTATGCTTACTAAGCCATTTTCAATTTTCAACGTTATAAAAGGATACAAAGAAAGATGGCGATTTGCATTTTCGACATAATGAGATGTTTTCTGAATCCATGAAACAAATTCAGGTGAAGAAAACTGTGCATTAGAGTGTGTTCACAGTTAGCAAAGAAGAAGTCCTTTGAATGCAAACTTGGTAAATCTAAACGTATCGTAAACATAATGCCTCGGCAATGGAAATTGCAAAATCTCTTCAAAGAATTCAATTCAACAAAACCATCTGATACGCTCGGTTCCTAAGCTAACGACATCGAGGCTTCAATGTGATTGACATCAAGAAGAGGAGTAAATTAATTAATTTTCGTGGTGAGAATTTTTGTATTAAAATTTTCCTTATATATGGTCGTTGCTCATATTTTACGGAATTGAGAGGAAAAATAGAACCAATAGAATTAAGAAATCAATCAACAAATAAAACTCTGATTCAAAATTAAAATCTCGGATGAGTAGCGCAACTAAACAAAATAACTAAGAAAAAGGAGAAGTGGAGAACGTCTTTTTCCACAAATAGACAGTTATTTCGCGTAAGGGAAAAAAACGTTTAAGGTCGTGCGTGTAATTAACCACGGAAAATCAATGGTGGCGCCATTTAGTCTGGGTTGCTGAATTCTTTAGATTTTTTTAAATTTACAATTCCTCGCACTTTAAGAACTAGTCAACAAAAATTTTTAAAGGACAGGAAAGAAGAGAGCCCCAACTGTCGAAGACATTAGGAAGAATTCTCGCTTACTCATACCTCCCATTCTACCTTTCCGTTGAATTAAAACTTTCTTTCAAGAGTTCACGGAAAAAAGTTAGAAAATGGGACTAACTGCAGGCACTTGAAAATAAAAACAAAATCTCACCTTTGAAGAAATATTGTATTTCCTCAAAATATAAATTCTCATGGCGGAGGCCTCATCTTCTGTGGTCGGACTGTCCGGGTCTTCTTTGAATCTATCGAGGACACAACGGGCCTCCGCTATTGCCTCTGCAAAACAAGGCAGTTCTGGGCAGGCGTCACTCACAATTTCTTCATTTGTTCGCCCCTTTTTTTCTTTTTCTAATGCTCTAAGGGCCATCTGGCGGCCCGAGTGATCACCAGCATGCCTCCTTTTACGTCTACATTTTTTCTTTTTTTTTTCCCTGTCTCTTCGACACCCTCGAGGTCCACCGCCACCATCCTCTCCTCCTCGTCACTCTCCGTTTCGGACACATGCTTGCTACTTAAATCTATCATTCTATCGTCGAAATCGCCCTCGAGGAATGGTGAGAGATTTGGCAGTTGTGCCATCACTGCAGCCTTTGCAGAACAACAGCGAGCAGAACAATAGCTAGCACAACCATGCGCGCAGTCAATCATTCACAAGTCATCATATGATTGGTTGCAACGGCTAAAAAACATGACCTGTTTTGGAACAAGATGAACTGGTTTAAAGCAAAGATCTTGCTTTTCGTTGTTTTCCCCTCCAAATGACACAGAGGCGAAACTACGGGCAAACTGAACTGAAAAATGAGTAGTGAGAGCGAGATGGATGACGATTTTGCGGTAAAAAATATCTTCGTAGCAATGTGAGATGGTTATGATTACGATTTTAATATCTAACATTAATAAACAACAAATAGACGAAAACAAGATACACCCAGAAGAAGTTAGAGCTGCTGAAAGCGCGCTTGAAAAACTGGAAGATAGTTCGTTACAAGTAAGTATCAAAACCTCTGATTTTTTTTCCTATTTAAGGTATGAACTAATTTGTATTAGGTTAAATGTTTATTTTATTCCAATTGCAGTTCAGTGAAGTGAGTGAGGTGGACGGTGGTCCTTTTCAGTTTGTCGAATCGGATCATACTACCTTTTGGAAGAATAAAAAGGGTAAAATAAATCAGGTTAGTATTCTCCTAGAAATGTCGTGTAATTTTCAGCCAAGATTTTTGCAGTCTCATGAACAGCGCGGGTAGTGAATCGCATCCAAGATCACTCAAAGTTTAGAAAAGATTGATAATCGTTTGAGTACTCATGTCCTTTGCCTTTGTTTCGAAGAAAAATGTTATATCCTAATCACAACCAGACTTTTAGCTGTACCACTGATTTTTTTTTAAAATGTCCTTCCTATTTTAAACTTTTCGTTCTTAGCAACGTATTTTTAACAATAAAAGTTCAAACAGAACCTTGGTATACTCGCTGTAACAAAGTGATGCTTTGATTGTGGTCCCCGAATTCAGTTGAGCTTAATAATCGTTTTTTGCGCGCACGTGAAGGTTTTACTGCTTAAGGGCGCATCTTCGATTGGCTTAATAATCGTCCAAGGGCGCGCGACAAATGACTAGCCGCTAAATATTGTGCTCAACATACCAGAGCAATTCATTTAAATAATTGGATTTTCCTTTTCAACAGGAAAAGAGCAATAAAGTTCCCAAAAAAAACCGTGAGTATTGCTGCCATGTTGTCACTATTTTTGTAATAAGAAACTTGTAAAAACGTATAAACCTGGGTATCCAGTGTTTCACAACACCTCGTCTAAACCCACGCATAGTTTAAAAGTACTTAAGTTAGAAAGAAATTTCCAGAGAAACATTTGTTTTCAATAAATTTATTTCAGAAGCGTTTTAATATTGCATCAGTCGTATGTTACTACTTTTGGAAAATAGGGAGATTACTGAAAGCAAAGGAAAAGACTGAGGCCTCCTCTGTAGTGCGTGAAATAGAGAAAGGTTGTTGTAAGAGGAAGTGCATAGGAGATATTCCAGTTCGGTACGTTACGAAAAAAAGGGAGGAATTTTGGTTGAAGACCAACCAAGAGAGAAACGAAGTTATAACTACTGCCATTGCCAGCAGAAGTGATGGCCGTCTACAGTTGAATGATGTCTCGGAAACCATTTGTGCAACGGCATGGTGTACCGTCCACGGGTTCTCCATTTCAAGGTAAGCAATTTGCAATTCATTTTCGTCAATTATATCATTGGCGGTGTTATTTGCAAACTTTGGGGTGAATATGACAATGTATTACTATTCGCCTCAGTGGAACTTTAGACAGCCTTTTTAGATCACTAATCCTTACACTCTCATGTACATGTTTCCTTTGAGGTTATATTTATCATAAAACATTAATCAGCTGACTTATCAATGGCTTTGCATTTCTTTCAGTTACTATGAGCAATTAAAAAAAGGGAACCAGTGTACTCAGCAGAGTAGAAAGAAATCTCTGGCCTTCGAACTGGCTTTGGAGTGGTTCAGAGGATTCGCAAAAAGTGCAGAACAAATGCCAAACTCCTCCTCAAGGCCATTGCTGTCCTGCCTGACGAAAAATGAAGTGTATACGTTGTACAAGGAGGAAATGGGGGACAACCCTACACTTTCACGCGTGCACTTCTTATATAAAATGTGGAAAGTGAACTTTCCAGATGTTTATATACCAAAGGTAGGAATAATTGTTGATGATCAAGGCGACTGAAATGGCAGTCACTCTTACAGTGACTCTTACAGTCCTGTAGTCTTATAAGAATAAAACAATTTGAAAAGTTGTTTGCTTTCTCCGCTTTGCAGCAAAGTCGGTTTACAAAGTGCACAATTTGCGAACAGTTGAAAGTAGAATTGAGTAAGCCGCAAGTTCAAGAACAGCACAATCACTTGAGAATGATGAGGAAACTTCACCTTACTCAACAGATGTAAGTTGAAATTACATATTCATTGACAGGTGTCACAAAATCCTCGTTAGTATGCTTCAGAATAAAACAAAAACTGTTAAACATTAATTACAACACCAACAGACCATGCCACACTATGCCCTGTGAATTAAAATCTCAATGCTTAAATATGAATGGTGCATCTATATCAAATCATTTTCTTATTTTCTTAAGGACGGAGAGGAACAAGTACTACAAACACAACATCAAAGCAAGAGTAAACCCAAACAAGTACTTGTCCCTTATCATTGATGGCATGGACCAAGCTAAACATAACTTGCCACATTTTACTACAAGTACAAAGGTAAAATCAATGCTACTTGTACATGTATTAAATATAATATTGGAACGTTTCCGAATTTTGAAAGCTTCGGTTAAAAGGTCGTCATTGCGAAAAAAATTGACATTGAGTAAACATAGATGTTGGGTTGTTCCGCACAAACATCAACATTGCACTATATCACATTGACACAACTCTAGCCGTAATTGCATAAGGATTTGGCTGACGCTACAAGCTGTGAAAAGCAATTCTTACTTAGATGTTTTCACATAATTGCATTTCATTTTTACGTATTCTCATCAGGTAGACGAAGGTGCGTGGAAATTAAAGACGCATCTCACAGGTGTCCTGGTTAACCAGAAACAAGAAGCCCATGCGTTTCTTGATTTATGCGAGTACCCGCATGATTCAAATTTGACTATCAACGTCATGCTGGAGACTCTGTTGCACATCAAGAGATCGGTAAGTTTAACCAATGGACCACAAGTTGTCTTTGTCCAGAGTATAACATCTGTATGCATATTGTTTTTGCCCCTTACTACGTAAAAGAAAAAGCGTACGCCACATTGACTTTTTACCGCATTTGGACGTTATCAGTGATATATTACTGATCAGGGTCACTGGAAATTGGATGATGAATTAAAGACGTCATTCGACATCTAATGACGTCTATAGTGTTGAAAGAACTATAATGCATTGCATTGAAGAAAAGTTTAAAACTATTATAGTTTCAAATGTAATGCGTCACACTGTTTCACCCGATACCTTCTTGTTGATCATTTTTAATTCATTTTTTCGTTACTCTTTTAGCAAGGGTATCTGCCACCTGTCCTGTACCTCCAGATGGACAACTGTTGGAGGGAGAACAAATACCGCTATGTCCTAAGTTTTCTAAGTTTATTGGTCGAGAGGAAAATTTTTGAGAGGGTGAGCTATCAAATCAGGCAAAATTGTCTTATCTCTCAATAAATAATTTCAGCCGTAGCTAGAGATGAGTCCCAGCCTAATATCATTTTTAATTCAATACCAATTTTGAAAATAAGTTCAACAGGGATTAAATATTCCTCTTTTTGTCAGGACGTTCGTTACCACTTTAAGTCATGGTTTACTGACCATTGGTCTCTTTAACTTTGGTTGGCCTTCTATTTTGTTTCATTTTATGCAAGCAATATTACTCTCAGTAATTGAAATGACAACAACATGTAACTATGTAATGAAATTTGACTATGATTCATTCAGAACTGGGTTTAACAAACTAAATCATATGTTTTACTTTTTGACAGATCAAAATATCTTTCTTGGTGGTGGGTCATACATATGAAAACATCGATCAGATGTTTTCATGTGTAGCAAGAAGACTTGCCAAGAACGCCGCCCATACTTTAGAGGCACTGAAGGAACAGATTAAAGTATCGTACACCCCTCCTGTGTTAGTGGAGGAATTATCATCTTTGTTCGAGATCAAAGCGTGGATGGAGAACTCCATTAACAACATATCAGGCCACGTCCACCAACACGTTTTTAAAATTCAAAACAACAACGGCAACCCCAAGCTGTTCTATAAGAAGTGGTCCACCTCACCTGTCTGGCTGCCTGATGGTGGAATAAGTCTCATCTCGAGCATACCAAGAGGAGTTCCCAAGCTTGTCAAACCGAACACTCTTGGTGGCATGTCCCTTGACAAGCTTGAAATGGACCTCCCAAAATACACCATGAAATTGAAAGACTCAGAAATGGTATGGTGGAGAGAATTCATAACCAGACAGAGGAAT